CACTGTGGAGAGATTAGAGATTGTACAGAGATAGTGCACCCATTAACACACTAAAACCATGGTATCATGTTCGTGTTATTGAGTTATGCTTCACTAAACTCAATTCTCGACATGCTAAAACATTTCCAGGGCATTGTGTATGGGAGCATCTCTTTGCATTCATTTGATCTTCCATATTCGTGTGTGTTCTTAATTTCCCTTGCAAATAGGACAACCAGAAGGCTGCAGTAACTGACTGATCATGTAAATGCTGAGTCTTTCGGGCTCCTCGTCTTCTGTTAACCTCTGCTGGACCGCTGCCACCAGTCACTTTTGATGTTTTACATGGAGCAGAGTAAATATTCAAGGCAGCTTCCTCCTGCAGAGCAGAACTTTTTGGGGGGTCTGTCAGTTCCTTTCCTCTTACTGCTGTTTGTGGCGAGGTGCACTATATGGAGGATTTGAAGGAACGCCGAACAACGCCACCTGGGGGATTGCACCCCAGGAAATACTAATTGTACTGTCTTATGTTTGAAAAGTGGAAATAAACGCACACAGATTCAGTACTGGAAGGCAGAGACGTGTTTTCAAAAATTTTTGATGATGCTAAAAACAGAACAAACAGGGTTGACTGGAACTGCTGCAAAGACACAAAAGTTAGATAAATTAAAAAGAAACTGCGAAATGGGTGAAAAAATTACTTTATTATAATAAGTTCTCAATAGGAATTAAGAAAAAAAAAACACTCAGTGGAACGTCAATTTAAAATCCAGCCCAAAATAACTACTAAAAATAAAGAACCAAGCAGAAGCCACTTGTGGAGAGGCAGACTACAATGAGGAGTGACTAGGGGTGCCACCTATGCTCACCTGGGTGCAACACAACAATCCTCACAAAATGGTGCAGTCTATGTCATGTCCCTGTGCAGTTACTCACATGCAAAAAGAAAGTGAAGGGACCTCATCATGGGTGCCTGGTCTCTCCACCAAGTGGCACTCTGCTCTGAAAAGAAGAAAACTAAACACAAAAGAATGAGAAACAAAAGCAACGTAGCCCAGCTGGCTAAACCAATGCAAAAAAAACTAAATTAACAGGCAAAACAGCAGTGGTTAAAAATGCAGGAGAACCTGGAGAAAGGGGAAAAGGTTATCAGCCAACCTACATATACATTCAAATGCATTTAAAAATCCTACTCACCACCTCTCTTGTGGGCCATTAACAAAATCACTGGTCTAGCAGAGGGTCAGAATGGCTTTATAGTCGACCAAAACTTCAAACAAAAGGATGGTTGACATTAATATGAATGAATGAATGAAAAAATGAAAAATACTTTATTTATCCCAGAAGGGAAATTCAGTCTTGTAAAAGCNCCACCAGTCACTTTTGATGTTTTACATGGAGGAGAGTAAATATTCAAGGCAGCTTCCTCCTGCAGAGCAGAACTTTTTGGGGGGTCTGTCAGTTCATTCCCTTCCTCTTACTGCCATTTGTGGCGAGGTGCACTATATGGAGGATTTGAAGGAACGTCGAACAACGCCACCTGGGGGATTGCACCCCAGGAAATACTAATTGTACTGTCTTATGTTTGAAAAGTGGAAATGAAGGCACACAGATTCAGTACTGGAAGGCAGAGACGTGTTTTTGATGATGCTAAAAACAGAACAAACAGGGTTGACTGGAACTGCTGCAAAGAAACAAAAGTTAGATAAATTAAAAAGAAACAGCAAAATGGGTGGAAAATATTACTTTGTTATAATAAGTTCTCAATAGGAATTTTTAAAAAAAACACTCAGTGGAACGTCAATTTAAAAACAAAGAACCAAGCAGAAGTCACTTGTGGAGAGGCAGACTACAAAGAGGAGGGACTAGGGGTGCCACCTATGCTCACCAGGGTGCAACACAACAATCCTCACAGCAAAATGGTGTAATCTATGTCGTGTCCCTGTGCAGTTACTCACATGCAAAAAGGAAGTGAAGGGACCTCACCATGGGTGCCTGGTCTTTCCACCAAGTGGCACTCTGCTCTGAAAAAAAGAAAACTAAACACAAAAGAATGAAAAACAAAAGCAATATAGCCCAGCTGGCTAAACCAATGCAAAAAAAAAAAACAAAACTAAATTAACAGGCAAAACAGCAGTGGTTAAAAATGCAGGAGAACCTGGAATAAACCTGGAAAAAGGGGAAAAGGTTATCAGCCAGGCTCAACCTACATATACATTAAAATGCATTTTAAAATCATCCTACTCACCACCTCTCTTGTGGGCCATTAACAAAATCACTGGTCTAGCAGAGGGTCAAAATGGCTTTATAGTCGACCAAAACTTCAAACAAAAGGATGGTTGACATTAATATGCAGTTACTTTAAAGAAGATTGTGCATATGAAGCAGCTTTTCCTTCCTGGCCACCAAACACTACCAGCCACAGTAGGGACAGAGTTCAGGAAGCAGAGAGAGAACAAAGGGGAGCACCTGACGTAAATATCCTTCTCTGATTAGGTGATTGGCCAGCAGGTGAGGCAGGCCAGGGCTGCACTCACCTGTATTCCCCACCACATATGGACCGACCAGGGCTCAGACCCGCCCTGTGGTCACCTGCTCAGCTGTACAGCATTCTGTGACTTATATTGTAATATTCATATTATAACAAACCAAACGTCGTCTCCAAATGGTCTCATTTCACTTTCTGGAAAGGCTTTTCCACAGCTTCCCTACAGTCTTTATCAAAGTGCTGATTCTGAGACACGCTACACTTACCTCAGAGAGTAATCCTTAATTAGAATTCAAGCCCTCGACGGACTGACAAAACTGACCTTGGATCAGCCTGGTAGCTGGGTAATGGTGGCCGTCAGCAGCTCTGGTTAATTGGACAGCAGATCTAAGATCAGGACGGTAAAAGTTGCTGATTTTGAAGAGGCAACATGAAGACAGCGGAGCATATAGAGCCGGAGGATGGACGGGTCCATGCAGAGCAGTACAGACAGGAACTGATTCAGTGTGATGGTGTGACAGAGACACGACCTCTGATCAGGTGTACAAGCACCACGAGTCAGGTGTCATCAACAGATCTAATGAATGTTTAACACTCAGGGGATTTTTAGTCTTTCTGATTAATGATTACATGTTTATATACTTTATCATTTGTGGCAGCAAACTGTCTTGTCCGGTTGTCTTTCATTGACGAGACTAACCTGTAAATCGAAACACGAGACCTAAACATTTTAGGTTTTGTCAAACAGCTGCAATGTTGCCATGAATATGCAGCAAGTTCATACTTTAATGTGCAAATTTGGCATGCAGCAAACTCAGAGTGTACTTATGGCTAACGCTGTGGTGAATGTTTGGCAAACAGTCCAATCTGTTAGATATACCCACGTTATCCCTCACAGAGCCACGGAAAGCTGGAGTGTGTCCCAGCTCAGCCTCGGACAGACTGCCAGTCCATCACTGGGCTAAGAGACAGACAGCCATGCCCACATTCATACAGCCAGTATTAAATCACCTCTTTAACTAGTGTGCATGTGTTCGGACTGTGGGAGGAAACACACTCGGGCAGAGTGAGAACAGTCCACCAGCAGATCCAAACATTAAACCAGGAACTTGCTTCAACAGTAAAAATCACAGCAAGGGTGCAGCAACACGTCTGTGTCAATGTGGGGACAAACCGCCGGCAAGCGTCTCGTTATAGTGCCCCTAGTGGACAACAGGATTAAACTGTGGCAACATTTTCTGGAAAACTAATTTCTTTCCTGCAAATCTGCCACAAAGTCATAAAGGGTCGGTTTTAGCCTCCTTGCTGACCAGCGAGTGTACTAAATGTTACAGGAGTTCTTTATCAGCATTCTGTTCAATACAATGTTTTTTTTGTTTATTTGTTTTTTGCCAGGAACACCAACAAATCATGTTAGCTTCATATAAACCTACAGCCACGAGTGACCTTAGCCGAGCAGATAATGATAAAGCTCATTAATAATTACGTGTACTTTGTTAAATCTGTGCAAAAACAAATTGTTTCTGTTAAATTATTTCAATTCGCTCACTAATTAATACGTCACGTTACAGGTGCTGGTATTTAGATATTTTGACCTCGTACAGGAAACAGCCTACACTCGTTATGCTAATTTCAGCGAATCGCCTGCTAGCTCCTGCTAACATCTACTAATCTAACATGTGTCAGCAAAGCATGTTTTTCCAAAAACATGTTAAACCATTTTTTGAACTGAAAACGCATCATGCAAAGCCAGTAATGCCTTTTTAAAAAAAAATTTATTTATCTGGTTTAAATATACACCAGAATCCAAAGTCAAGTTCGTATTCTGAGCATCTAAAATTAGCCGTAGCTTTCCACCAAACTTGTTTTAATGTTTGAGCGGGTTTTAAAAGCCCCCTGCCGTGCTTCCTTTTAATTCGGTGTATCAGAGCGTTGGTGTGATTGATATGAAAGATTAACACTAATGTAATCTGACTGACAAGTGAGCTGGTGCTGACATGCTTCTAAATACAGAGCTGACGCCTCGAGCTTTAATTATGCTTTTTGTTCTGCCACGCTGCTCAGAACATGTATTTTTGGTGACAAAGAGGCTGCAGGTTATACAGTCTGCAGGGTGGCACAGCAGGTTGAGCAGCTGATTTCTGCCCACATATCCTCTCCAAGGTTCAAACTTGTCTGAGGCCTAAACCGCGGTCCGGGTTCTGGAGGCCACATGAAGAGCTGTAGGTGGAGGCTGGTTTAACAGAGCAAACAGAACTGGTCCTTCCAGCGAGAAAATAAGCCGGATGAAGGAGTGCAGCCATGTTGGAGTGGTGACAAATCAATTAGCACCTGTCACAGTGTCTCGCTCATCACTGGAACATCGGTATCATTAATGTATTTCTCCGTTTACTGTTCGAGCTAGACGAGCGCTACCGTGATACACAATTAACCTCCATTTCCTCTCGTCCCGCTCTATGGTTCTCTTTAGCCCAACCCTGCTCTCCAGAACCGCTGCTTTCAAACGTTTTCTCCTCATCTGTTTCTCCTCCAGACCGACCTGGAGGCTCTGGACCCTCGAGGCCGGACTCCCCTGCACCTGGCCGTCACGCTGGGACACCTGGACTGTGCCAGGGTCCTGCTGCAGCATGGAGCTGACGTTAGCAAGGAGAACCGCAATGGATGGACCGGTGAGTGTGTGTGTTGTGTATATTTGTGGTGACGCAGTGTACAGTACACACAGGCTGTGTAGAGTATGGTGTAGTGGGAGCTTGAAAGTGTTTCAAGCTAAAAAAAAAATGCTACCACGTTTTCCAAAAACTGTTTTTATTCCTTTGAAAAGAATTTTGGATTTTGTCCGTATTTGTTCTTATACGTTGATATAACAGCTGTGACTCTGACTCCACAGGCAGAACCATAGTCTGTATATGAAGTCTAGACGAAGCCTTTGGGTCTACAATCAGCACACTCTTAATTAAACTGTCATTCTTTCTAACAACCAGCAGGGGGAGGACACCTGTGCTTTCAGAAGTCAATGTAAAACAAACCTACTTCTCACTTCATTTGTGACCTCAGTAAAGATTTTATATACAGTTTATGGTCTCAGTTGCTGGTTTCACGTCTCCTTCAGTGCAGCACGGTGCTCATTTTGTAAACGATGGTAAAACAGAGTGTTTCCACTGCTTCACAGGGCTGCCCTGTGATCGACAGGTCGCTTCCATCTGTGTAGCGTCTTATAGCTCTCCGTCACATCCAGCCCTCGCTTGTTACGACTGGTTTCAAAAGAGCAAGATGATGCGTTCAAAACAGTCGCTTCATCCATGTTTTTAATGAAGTTTATTGGTAGAACAGCATCTTTATTACTCATGTGGGGCAGAATCTTTCCTACAGTCACTTGTTTTCTTTCTTAAATATGATAAAACATTTTCATCATCTCTGGAAATAAATGTTTATAGGTAACGCTTTAGCTAACAAAACAAAAACTTCTTAAGTCTTTAGTAGTTACTCAGCAGCTTTTTAATGCATAATTAAAAACAAGCAGCAAATAACGAGTTCCTGTCCGACTATTGGCATTTGGGACTGTGTGCTTTGGGCTTATCGGTACACCTTTAACGGTAGTTCCTCAAGGTGCATCAGTCTAAATGTAAACCACCACTTAATTCCTGCCATTGTGGGCATGTCAATCTGTGGGTTGTGGAGCCAATAAGCAATTATGATGGTGCTGGCAGCCAGTTGGCTTTCCTCATCAATGACTGGATGTGCACAGTGTGTATGATCAGACTAGTGCTGCCAGGTCCTGTGTGCCTCTGAGCCACAGCAGACCAACACATCAGGCTTGCTCTCTAAATGTCAACTATAAAAACCTTGGACAAAAATGTGAATTACCGTTTATGTGACTGAGTCCTGCTCAGTTACCCTTGTAATGCATTTTAATTTATTTTTCAAAATGTCTTCAGAAAATGCAGAACATTCTGCCACAGACATTGTTTTTGGTCACAATCAGAAGACTTAATCACGTATAGTGTTTAATTTATTACACACTGTGGTTGCACAGTAGCTTGCAGTTCCCATTAGCTCGATTTTACACGAGATTTTTTCACAGTTGTGTCCTTTTAGTGACTGATGCGTTTAGGAAACACAAAGCACTCGCAAAGCTTTCGCAGAATATCAGCAGGTTCATGCCAGACGTCTCCTCCATGCTGGCACTGTGCGGATGTCGTGGAACGATTTGGCAATGGAAGGATAACGGAGTGTGAAATCAATTAATTTTTAACCTTGAAACTATATCCGCCCATAAAACACCCTGCATTTGGATGTTGTTTGTTTCGCTGGCAGCTGCCTCTCCACTTGTGTCACGTGACTTCAGGCTGCTTGTGTCTTGATGGTGATGGATTAGAGGCAATAAAGAGAAATCTTTGTTATTGTCACGGATGTTCTGTTGCAGAGTATTAAGTTCTGAAATCCTCTTTGGTTTCTGCTCACAGAACTTTGTTCTATCATCATTCAAGTGTGGCACAGCTTGTAAGATTAACAGCAGCGTGGCGGTCTGATGAATGGCGGCGAGCTGCAGTAATTGGTCGTACCAGCTTTTCCTTTGGCCTACTTCAGTTTCGGCACTTCTTGCTGACCCCTTAAATTGCTCATGTGCATAAATTTTAGATGAGGCCTGAGCGATTGGCTCTGTTTTACTCTCCGTCTCTCTCAGTCCTTCAGGAGGCGGTGAGCACCAGAGATCCGGAGCTGGTGCGTCTTGTGCTCCGTTACCGTGACTACCAGCGAACTGCCAAGAGACTGGCGGGCATCCCCGTCCTGCTGGAGAGACTGCGCCAAGTGAGATCTCACACAAACAAACACGCAACGTACACATGGAAAAAGACAGTCTCCAGTGACCGCGCGCGCACACACACACACACACACACACACATACATGACCAAGTAACAGCAACTCGTGTCGGGGGTTCTGTGCAGACATGAATTCATTTGAAATGCAGATGAATCTTTTTAATATTTACATCTTTGTTGTAGGATGAGATCTTCCCTTTGAAGATATTAATAACTTTGTTTACTATTTAACAAGGGACATACACTCAGAGGATATGTCTGTGTTGCAAAACTGTCTGTCTCGGGGTAATTTGAGTCATCGCTGTTCCCTCCTGGGGCGAGGAGTGGCGTTCTTAAAGGCCCAGCAGCAGCAGCAGCAGCGATGAGGAGGCTGATGGTTAGACTCCTGCAGCTTCCACGCTGCTCTTCATCTAGCTGCTCCCGACACACCAACTCATGAACACGCTCGGCCGTGGCGGTGGACACCACAGCCTGGCACTCGTCACTTTCCAGCATCAACTCTTCATCTGCTCTGACCCACATCCCTGTCCTCTCCGTCCTCCACCCGTCAGTTCTATTATTAACCCCACATACACCACTTCTCTGTGCCAGGCCTCTCATCGTTGGCACAGACAATGAGGCAGCCTCGTTGCATTTGTTCACTCTCCCACTTTGTCTTTTCCTCCGCATCGCTATTCTCCTCTCCATGTCTATTTATCTTTAGCTCCATCACTCTCTATCTCCCCAATTCGCTCTCTATCTTCCTCTTTATCAATGCCCGGTGCCTTCTCATTTGTCTTCCTCTCTCTCTCCGTCTCCTCCCACGCTTTCTGTCCAGGCCCAAGACTTCTATGTGGAGATGAAATGGGAGTTTACCAGCTGGGGTGAGTCCAGTCTGCATGTCCTTGGATTCAGTGCTAACCAGTCCGAGTTAATCATGTTATCGGCGTCCTCTGGCCGTCTGTTTCCTCTCTGTTGTACTGAACAGTGATGCTTCCGTTGTGTAGTTTGCTTTATCTGTGGCACTTTTAGAAATGTGGGTTAGAAATGATTTATCAGCGCCAAAATGAAAATCCCAGAAAAGAAGTGAACCCTGTTGCATTCAGCCCTGCACATGTTCATTAGAAGCTGTGAAGTCAAGGCGTGTCTGTGTTTGTCCGTAGTGCCCCTGGTGTCTCGTATCTGCCCCAGCGACACCTACAGGGTTTGGAAGAGTGGCCAGTGCCTCCGCGTCGACACCACCCTGATGGGCTTTGAGCAGATGACCTGGCAGAGAGGAAACCGGAGCTTCATCTTCAGGGGGCAAGGTGAGAGCTCAGCCTCAAGCCTCGCTCTGTGGGACCGACGAGAGCCGTGTCCAGGTACAGGAAGCCGTGAGATGAGAGACCAGAAGCACATTTTTGAAATATATTTGTTTTCTTGTTGAGGATTATAGAAGACCACATCAGAGTCCAGCCCATCATCCCTCATCAAGCTCTCTGGTTGTCTATAGACTAGTATGAGGCAGCTTTGATTACCTTTACAGAGCCGGGGTCGCAGTTTCACACCTGTCTCCAGTCTTTAAGATAAGCTAACCAGCTGCTGGCTGGGGCTCATATTTACCGTTCAGACTGGCCTCATCTTCTCACATAACTCGGTAAGAAGGCCAGTTTATTCATCAAAATGTTAAACTTTTCCTTTAAGATGTGAGCCCAGATTAGCAGCAGTTTGTCTTCCTGTCCCCGGACACCTCTCGTCCTTCCAAACCCCCTGCAGGGACATCAGGTGCAGGAAGACTGTATTTAGCAGTCACAGGAGCTTCACTCGGAGTGAACATGAGATGAAGCGAATATTCAGAAAAACTAGTGCAGGTGTGACGGCACCTTTCCAGGACGATCCCTTCTCTCTCTCTTGCGGTGCCTTTCTTTGCAGCCTGATTGCACAGCTCTCCTCCCTCCTCTCTGCACTGCTTTACCTGTTTCTTCTTTTATTTTTATCCTTTTTTTCCCTCTCCACTTTAAATTCTTCCTCCTCCTTTGACCTTTCCGTTGGACTTTTTTGAGTCTCTGCATAATGCTCTCTCTTGCAGTGTTTCTTTGTGCTGCCTGGTGTCTCATTTGCTCTTTCCTTTTCCATCTGCAACAACACGTGCAGTCTCTCCACATCACTCCTCCTCTCTTTTCCCTGTTTGTGTCTTGCAGCTTCCTGGACACTCTTAGTTTTAATTCATTAAACTAATTCATTGCTTGAGCTTCTCTTCCTGTGTCTTGTCCTCTCAGACTCCAGCGCGGAGGTGATGGAGGTGGACCACGACAGGCAGCTGGTGTTCTGTGAGACCTTGTGCGTCTCGTCCCTGACGGCGCTCTCTCCTGGCCGAGGGAACGGCGGCGCCTGCAGCAGCAACGCCGCCGGGTTGGGTCTTCTGGGGGCGGTGCAACCCAGCGACGAGCAGGTCGCGGCCAGGCTGTCTGCCCCGGTGGTGACCACTCAGCTGGACACCCGCAACATTGCCTTTGAGAGGTCAGACGCAGCGCCGATGTTCAGAATAGACAGGACGGTCAATATAAGTTATTCTAAGTTCATTATAAGAAAGGTGTGACGTTAGTATACAGCTTGTAATCATGCATGAGGAAATCATTCTTAGGACAAGTACACATCACTTTCTGCAGCAACAGCAGCCACAGAACATGTTCTGCTTGTGTGCAGTTTTTTTTTTCTGAGCAGAGAAAAATTCTTCTTTTGTTGTTGGGGTTGGTTTTGTGTCTGTGCTTCTCTGGTGCTGGTTCCTACACTGCAGCCCACAGCCAAGTTGAAGAGGTTAAGGCCTGTTCTCTGGTGGCGGTCAGAGCGAACGCAGCAGCAGTGGGAGGAAGTGGAGACGAATAAATCATGCAGAACTAATCGTTAGAGTTCATTGAACACTGATTATTAATTATATACTTAATCTACATAACTGATGAAACATTCCTGTAATGAAATCATACGACTTAGGTCATTCTAAAAATGTAGTTTGAAGAGACTCTATGAAGACGACCTGTCTGTGCTACAAAAGCTCCTCCCTATGCAATATAATATATAATATTAACATAACCTACCCTTGTTGGTTTCAGCACACTCAGGGGTTTTGGCGCCCTCTTGATACTTTGGGTTGATTTTAGTCATACCAGGAGTCCTCCACTCTGGAGCCTTTGTGTCTTATGTGAACTCAAAAGGCAAAGATGCCCCAAAAAGCTGCAGAGATAAGCCTGATGTGGAGGGACACACTGGCCTCAGACTAAGGGCCTGTTCACACCTGGCATTAACGTGCTTCTGGGCTGATCTGATCAGAGGACAGTTCTCAGCTCGGCTGGACGTCAGCTTGCACCTGCTACAAATGCGTCTCCACATTCGTCTCGAGGGACCGCTTGTGATTGGATCTCAGTCAGAACTCCTGCTCTGTATGCACGATGACGTGAACATCATTCATCATCTTAAACGACCAAATGCGTCGTTCTGTTTAACTGGTGGGAGGCAGCAATGCACTTCCCGTTTTGCCAGAAAAAAAGAAGATGAAGAAGATTGCGCTTCCCTTGAAGAAGATTTTAAAAATGTTGTTGTTCTTGTTTCTCTTGGTGTGTGAATCAGTCCGTCCTACTCATGCATCGGTGGTCCTTTAGTGTGGCCCAGGACACCTTTGTGTTAACATAAAGAATGTGTGACCTGGAGTACCTCCGAAAACGGGTCTAAAAATGTCCTCGATCCATCCTGGGTGTATTCAGGACCGTACTTAAAGCTGTTCACTTAGGATGGGATCACCGAGGACAGATGTTAATGGAAGTCTGGAACAGTAAAATGCACCAGTGAACATGGAGATGAGGAGGCAGATAGCAGATCCAAAGACATCGTGGAGGCAGACGGGACAGAGGGTTACTGCAAGTGATACGGAGATGAAAGAAGTGGAACGGAGGAGAGAGGAGGGAGATGTGGACCCAGCAGGGGCACAGAGGACAAAACTCATCTTATTCCGCTCAGGTGGAGATAAGACTGATGTGACAGAGACGAAGAGAGAAGGACGATAGAACAGGAGGACTTTTGGACAGAGAAGGATGGAGGGCAGAAAATGGCAAAGAAAAGGAAGAGAGAAGGGTGAAAGATGTAGAAGAGCGAGGGAAAGGAACCGGAGAGGGAAGGCATGCAGTGATAAACAGAGAAAAGGATGAATGTGACACAGAATATGGAGGAAAAGCACAAAGTGTGAGCCAGAAGAGGAGAGAGGGGATAGTGTTGGAGTAGAAAAAGGAGAAAAATATGGCGCGAATAACGCAGTGATGGATGGGTGAACGACAGAGAGAGACGCAGAGACTGGAAGCGAATGTTAACAGATTTAAAGAAGATGGAGAGCAGTGAGCAGGCAGAGGTGCTGGCTGAGAGGTAATCATCTCCCCGTCAGACTCGTGGCTCGGTGTCACCTCCGTGCACTCTCCCTGGTCAGCACTCCTGTCTACATGCCAATAATCTATTTATGATGCCGGAGCAAACCACTTTGTCAGACAGGACGTCCTCCTCTGGAGCTCACACGTCTGTACGCAGCCTCGCGCCAAACTCCAGCTCTGCAGTTCTGCTGTTAGAGGACCGACGAGTACCAGGTTTACTGAGCCCTCATTAATGTACCTCTAAACTCATTAACATACCTCTAAACTCATTAACATACCTCTAAACTCATTAACGTACCTCTAAACTCATTAACGTACCTCTAAACTCATACGGTGAGAGGCTGCATTAAACACAGCTGGAGCTAAAGTCCAGCATCAGCATGCCGTCATGCTCATAATGACATTACTCATATGCTGATGTGCAGCAGTTGTGGTTTATCATATTTACACCTTAGCTTAGTGTGTTAACATGCTAATGTTTCCTAATTGGCAAAGTACAGCTCTGGCTTGTGGGAATGTGATTAGTGGTGCAGGTTTGGTCTCTAAACCAAAGTGAAGGACAGAAGACAATGCTGTGATGATTATTGTTCATCGTGATTGTTAAACGCCTCCATCGGACTTCATACCAGTTAGTTCATGGTGACATTAGAGCAGAAACCTTCCAGACCTGCCTTTTAAAAGTATTTAACATAACAATATGTGATATTATTTCACTTTTACTCCAAATATATCCAGTCTGACATGAGGGAGTAAACATCCTTGAAACTCTGTTTAGTCTGCAAGCAGTTCGCTGATGTGAACAGATGATGAAGACAAGATATGCCTCACTGCCTTCTGGGCAGGTTTCCTAATTGCATGCTGAACTGCTGATCTTCACTTGAAGACAAACAAGGACAACAGTAGCAGGGTTGTTCAGGCTGCACGTTACGGAGGAACAACAGGTCCGGTGACTTGCAGTCTCCGGGGAGATGCTGATTCTGCTCTGTGTTTATGGTGTCGTGTCAGGTGCATGTCTGCAGATTGCTCAGGATGTGAAAATAACTAAATAATGAGCTGTTGAGAGCACAGGGAACTGATCTGGGATGTCCTTTGTTGCAGGAATAAGACGGGCATCCTGGGCTGGAGGAGCGAGAAGACGGAGACGGTGAATGGATATGAAGCCAAGGTAGAGCTCGCTGACCCTCTGCTGTCAGAACTCAGGCTGATGTGTCCTGAAGGTCCACCTGAAGTGTTTTATTCCCACTTGTTCAATGTGTTTTCTTTAACATCCAAGTATGAATTGTTTACCCTCAGATGAAGATGATTTGTGAGCACATACGTAGGAGCAGATGGCCATTCAAATTAGTTAAAAAAGACACATGCGTTACCTTGACCCCATTTGTTCTGTGGACCCCTGGAGAGAGCGAAGGGAGACGGGTGTCAGACACCAGGACCATCTGTCACCGGTGGTTTAGAGCACTTTAGGAGGCTGGACAGTAAAACCCTGCTGCCTGAAAGTCAACGGTTTTCTGCATCATTGATCTAAAGTCACAAACATCAACAGACTACAGCTGCTGGGCTTCTCTTTGGTGCCTCTTAGTTCTTCATTTCACTTCAGCGGATCAGCAGCCTGCTCAATATTTTATTGTGACGTTATTTTTATGGGACTGGGGAGGACCGCAGGCTGTGTCCTGCTGTGGACCGTAGAACCAGGACATTGGACTGGAGCAGCAGGGCTGTGATTGGACACAAATGCATGATGTGCTGTTTTAGAACTGCTCTTTGTTTTTTTCTGGCCGTGTCAGAAAGGAAGAGAAATGGTGTGTTTATCCTGATCATAATGTCTCCTCTTTCAGGTGTATGCAGCATCCAACGTTGAGCTGATCACCAGGACCAGAACCGACCATCTGTCCGACCAGAACAAGAACAAGACTAAAGGTGAGTCCCTTTTAAGTGGACGTCTTCGGTCGATGTTCAGCTGCAGCTGCTGAACTCGTCCGTCGTCCTCTGTGACCTCCAGCCCAAGGAGCAGCAGAGTGATCCCTCTCACCTGAACCCGATGAGATCAGCCCGAGGCTCGGCCAACAGCTGAAACACTCACTGGGTGGCTCCGTCTCATTTTCTGGTTCAGATCATAAATCAAACAGGATTAAGCAGGTTTTCCTCCTTGGACTGGCGCTGTCAGCCTGGATCACCCATCACATTGCAGGTCACTAACATGCAGCAGAAAGGGTTTCTGGAAGCGACATCGACTCCTGAATGAGTGACTCGCTCTATTCGCTCTTCCCTTGTGCTACTTCTCGTCAGTTTGTTAATGCTGTAAAAACGTAATGTGATATATATATATATCATAAGAGACCCAACAGCAGCTGCAGACAGATTAGATGGAGATGCTTCTTTTAAAAACCACAGTGCCGTGCCGCTGACATTAACCCTAATGATGGACCTTTGCTCTGCCTGCAGTGGATTACTCATTCAATTTCTGGTTGGTAGAGGCAACCACAGCACCGTCTGAATCCCAACCACACTCCGACAAGTTATTCCTCTGCGCTCCGACATGCAAAGGCATCTTTCACTCTGAACCTCCTCGGTATCTCATCTTCGCTGTCTTCACATGATGAGATCCTACATGAACAGAACCATTCTGTCAGACCTAGTTTTGGTTGTTTCACATATGAAATGCATGCATTTCTTTTTCTTTCTGCTTCACACTGGATTTAAATTGAACAGCATGCATTCTATAGACCAGAATCAGAAGTTATATTTAACTTTAACTGTTGCTTATTTAGGGCTGCAAGGTGGCGCAGTTGGTAGCACTGTTGCCTCGCAGCAAGAAGGTGGACGGTTTGCGTCCCGGTGGGGGCACCGGGATCCTTCTGTGTTCTGAGTTTGCATGTTCTCCTCCTGCAGCGTGGGTTCTCTCCGGTTTCTCCGGCTTCCTCCCACACAGTCCAAAAACATGTTGAGGTTAATTGGTGATTCTAAATTGTCCGTAGGTGTGAATGTGAGTGTGCTTGGTTGTCTGTCTCTAAGTGTGGCCCTGTGATAGACTGGTTACCTGTCCAGGTGAACCTGCCTTCGCCCTAAGTCGGCTGGGATAGGCTCCAGCCCCCCTGCGACCCCCGTGAGGATTAAGCGGTGTATAGATAATGGATGGATGGATGTTGCTTATTTAAATAATCCTCATTGTTGAGATGCTCCGTTCAACAGAAAATGTGTTTTGCTTGATGTTACTTCACATAAATGTCTGACCTTCTCTGTGCAGAACAATGTGTTTGATGCAAACTATCTGAGCTGCGGATTTTAGGACAGTTTCAGGAATCATTTCAGTGCTCGTGTGCCTGATAACACATTTGACATGTGCGTTGTCGTGCACACATAAAGCAGCAAGAACAGGGAGGTTTCCTGAACTACACAACAGCTGCAGGCAGAGATGACGAGGTCAGCAGTAATTCACCGTTCATGTTGGATTAATCACAGGTAGTCAAGGCTGATGTTTTTGTTTTCTCCTGAAAAATGGTCACATGGTGAGAACGTGACCAATCAGAGAGCCAACATGGATGTCATTGTCTCCAAAGTCTCCATTTCATCCCATCCACACTGAAACACATCTCTAGAGTTTTCAGACAGCTCCATGTTAGGGGTTCTAATACAACGATAAACAGAGGTTTGGAGTAGTGTGAATGGTCGGCGTCAGTGTAGCAGAAGTTGTGCATTTTGAGATGAAGATGGATGGCGTGGTTGAAGCCCTCAGCAGACGGATGGAGGGTATCGGTGTGTAATAACACTGACACTGTAATCCTGAGGTGTGGGCAGAGGGACGGTTGTTGGGCATCATTCTCTTTTTGTGTTTGTATATGTGGTGGATTCACTGTATGGAAAGAAATAGGACAAAAACACACAAAAAAAAAAGAGATGACGTGCAGAACAGGAGGGTGGTGACGAGCTTTGGGGTAATCCAGTGATTGATATGTGAGGACAGACTTCCACTTCTGCTGCGCCGTTGTCTTGGCGATAGTGAGATGAGTAACTGGTGTCTACCGGTGGGAGGTCTTCCAGCAGACACAGTGACGGGAATGAGGGGACTGATGGGTTCTGCAGCTCAAGATAGGACGCTCATTATTTGTCTCTGCTAACCAACGTGAGGAGACCTGGTGGCAAGTCCATGTGGTGCAGTTGCAGCTGTCTACATTGTGAACAAGTTCCAAATGGTAGACAGGGGCTGGAATACATACAAGTAGAGTTTAGAGGCTGTGGGATTTTCTATATTTAATGACATGGTTGGGAAGAGTCGAATGGGTCATGCCAGTCTGAGATTTACTGGGTTTCATGGATGGATCCTTGTTGCAGAAAGAAGAACTGCATCCCACGTCTGTTCATTAAGCTTTGCACTGCTGAGGGTCAGAGTTACCGGCTCTAAAGCTAAACCCAAAATCAAAGTTTACTTAATAAAAGAAGATTTCCTCACAAGGTTCCAAGAACCAGGCAGACGAAGCAGGAGTCCAGGACGGAGGCTGGGTCAGAAATCAGGCAAAGAACAAACAGAGTAAATTACAGCACAAAGACAATCTGAGACATGGACGGTTCAGAAGAACTGAGGCTGATTGTGGAGAGGTCAGGTGAGACAGACTGGTGTGAGCAGAGTGAATGGACGGCGAACTGGATGCTGTGAACTGGCTATTTAGGAATATGTGATGAGTTTTGTGTGAGAAAACCAGTTTTATTCTCAAGACCTAAATGGGATGTTTATGCACATTGGAGCTCTGATTTACTCTATATGTCATATGTGCATGCATGTATATGATATTCATAATTCATTTTTAATGCGTTCTGTAGAATTGTTGGAATAAGAATTAGATGATTCATCCTTTGGTTTGAATTAGTTTTCAGTTTGTTTTCTTCTCATTTTGCCAAATGTGATTTTCCAGATTACTGTTGTGGCTGTTTCCCACAATAATGAAGGCGATGTTTCTCCATAACAAACGGCCTTCCTCTGTTTTATCGGAGTATCATAATCACCTTGTAGTGATGTATTAAATCCCCATCTTCTAGGGATGTGGCTGTTTATAGGAGCTGCGGTTTGTAGCGTCCTCCAGGTGAATCGCAGACCAACGAAAGGTCCATTTGAGAGGGAGAGGAAGGAAAAGTGAAACACTCTGAGGACGAGGAGCTAATCTTTCAAATGCTGTCAATGAATAGTGATGTATTAAGTTCAGCAGTCATATTTAGACCATATTTTAGAGTAACACCACTCACACTTGGCTGCTTAAAAGCATAATTCACTTGTGTTTGATTTAGCTGATCCACTGTGCCTCTGTTCGCTCCATGCTGGCTCTGAGCTGATGATAGGATGCCATAAAAGCCTGATCTAAGGCAATAAGTTATCAGTTAAACACTGAGCTTGATGAGACTGTGGAAAACACCAAGAGGACAGTCGGTGGCTGATAACTGTGTTCTCTGTGTGAGCAGGTGGGAAGACTCCTCTGCAGAACTTCCTCGGGATCGCAGAGCAGCACATGGGACCGAACAACGGGGTGAGAATGTCCGTCTGCTGACTTTCTTCTGTGCTGTCTTGCAGTTTGTTTGTTCTTCTGGTTGCGTTTTGAAGACACGTTGGTTTCCACCAGGTTCTGTTTCTGACATCCTGGCGATAGCAGTAATCAGTCTGTCCTCAGTGAGTCAGCCCTTTAGCTCCAGCACCGTCCACGTCCCTTTGGATGCACCGCCGCTGTACGAGTCCTGGCAGGAGCAGAACTCACTCAGAGGCTCCAACCGGCTCTCAAATATTGATTATGTTTTTTAATTTGTTTCTGCTGGAGAGCGTCTGTGACTCACGGCTTCTCTTCGGTCTCTGTTCTGTCACCTCCGCTCTCTTCGGCTCTCCCGGCTTTTCTGTCGTCTCCCTGCACAACAAAAAGCTTCTTTCTCTCCAGTTTGCTCTGCAGATATTTGTGTGGCTCCAAAACTCTTCTGTGGTTTTGTTTCAATTTTGTCAAACCCTAAACTTTAAAAAGGCATCGACTGAGCTCATCGATTGCACTCGGCAGAATTTCTCTTGTGTTTCATAAGTCTGTGGCCGTCCACGCTAGTAGTCGTGTCCACTGACAGGTCTGCTGAAGCCACACAATGACAACGAATTAGTCATTAAAGCAGCGAAGTGTTTACTGATGGATGCTGAAAAGAGAAACTGCTCTGACTGGAGGACCAGGAGTGTCATGAAGTAGCAATAAAGCATTTTATTAATTAAAACAGGCTTTAACAAGTTTGTTTACAAATTATTTGATTAATTTATCCATAAATAAATTAACTAAATTACTAATTTATTCACTATTTGATATTTTAATGAGGGCTGCAAGGTGGTGCAGTTGGTAGCACTGTTGCCTTGTAGCAAGAAGGTCTCCGGTTCGCATCCCAGTGGGGGCACCGGGATCTTTCTGCGTGGAGTTTGCATGTTCTCCACGTGCAGCGTGGGTTCTCTCCAGGTTCTGCAGCTTTCTCCCACACAAAACATGTTGAGGTTAATTGGTGATTCTAAATTGTCCGTAGGTGTGAATGTGAGTGTGCTTGGTTGTCTGTCTCTAAGTGTAGCCCTGTGATAGACTGGTGACCTGTCCAGGTGAACCTGCCTTCACCCTGAGTCAGCTGGGATAGACTCCAGCCCCCCATGACCCTAGTGAGGATTAAGGTGTAGAGATGATGGATGGATGGACGGATATTTTAATGTGCAGTGAAAAGAGGAATTATTAAAAGAATTCACAAAAACAACATAAAACTGTTTTTTCCCCCTTTTTTTAACATTTAAAACACCTTAATGAACTTATGAATAAATAATGGAATTTCAATTTGACAAATATAATTTAAAAGGGAAAAAACAACAAAATGAAAGAGTACAGGTTTCAGTCAGACCTTTAAAAGAGCAATTTGCATTTTCGTTTCCTTTTTTCTGTTCGGTGTTGATGTGATCAGTCATTTAGCCTCTGATGTAACAAGCCTTCTGATTGGCCGGGTACAGCCTCTGATTTCAGCTTCCCTGACCAACCAGTGGCTGAAACAAGCCCTCTGATTGGCCGTCATGTGCAGGTGTTGTTTTGTCACAGACTGAATGGTGGATTTTGACATGTGAGGTAAATGCATCCAGATGTTCCCTAAACTGATTAACCTCGTCAGAGCAGAGTGAAATCAAACGTTTCCAAAGAAATGATGAGATTCATGGTGTTATTACAGGAGTGGTTTGTTGCGGTTTCTTCTGGTCATGTATATAATGTTGGACTTATCGCTGCTCTGCTTCGTTTAGACCCAGAGAGGCCACAAAACTAATAGAAACAAAGAGTTTATAGAATGAAGCAGAGATGGAAATTAAAATGGGAGTCTTTCAAATACCTGACTAAAATCTATAATCTTAGTTCAATTTGTGAATCCAGTTATTTCTAATTGTTTCATGAATGTATTGATTTCTTTTACATGCCGCAAATCTCTACTGTTTCTATTGTAAAATTAGTTCCTGATTAATTAAATGTTTTATTATTATCGTGTCACTTGTGGTCCTCCATAGTTTGTGATTTGAGACTTTCACAAGCTGTTGAAGATGTCAGCAGGTAAAAGCAAAGCCGTGACAGATCCCGTAGGTTTCTGTTGTACAGCAGAGAACAGCAAAGACAGAGAGGCTGAACAGCCAGGAATCTTTCATCTTCATGCCGCTGGTATTGATTAATAATCCTCTGGATTCCTGCACACATAGTCAGTTTTTTAGAGCTGCAAGACTTCTTTAAAGTGGAAAGCGTTTCATTTTATTCATTACGTTCCTCCCCCAGGCCCTGGTGACCCAGATGTCCTCCCCTGCAGTGACAAACCCTGCAGCGCTGACGGCGGAGGAATACTTCAACCCCGGCTCGTCCCCAACTCAGAGGGACATCGGCCACCCGTGCCAGCTCACCACCAAGACCCAGAGGTGACGCAGAGAGGCAGGCAGCCGCTGGCCGGGCAGGCAGCGAGTCGCCACCGAGCTCACTGCCAAGTGGCAGAGCTGACAAAATGATGGACACAATAGTCAGAGTGGAAGCAGCCGTCCGTGGCGCTGACCACTGAGATCCTGAGGTGACGGACAGGCAGACAACAAACAAGTCAGCAGAGGGTTTCTGTAAAGCTTTTAGAGAGTCGAGCAATTAGATAGTCCGTGTCTGCAGTCTATCACTCAGCTGTGCCGGATGACTCACTGCACATCAGTTTATTAACGAAACAAAACCAAAAAATGAAGGAAGCCTGCAGTGTCTCTCAGGAAGAAAAAGGAAAAAATAGTCAAAGAGGCTTAAAAACTGCCTGGAGCCTTGAAATGAAATGAGAGGACAGCATTTAGCCTTCATGTTATTTCTTTGTAATTTAGCTAAAGTCTCAGCTTCTCTGTGTCCTTTCCATTAATCACATCGTAGACTGAGTCTCACAGATGATGCCAGCGTTCGTCCGTCTCATCAACCAATCAGCTGTCCGGTGTTCCTCCAGCTGCCTGTCTGCCGGCTTCAGCAGTCAGCTCCATTGTTGTGCAGCACCTAATGAAAAGTGACGGGACGTCATGAGAGCGACGTCTGGGAGGTTGTAGAGCTGCTCTAGTCCTGTGTTCATTATCGGACAAATTAGAATCTAAGAATTGATTGGCCTCGGCTTGAACAGGAGTCAGCAGCTTGTGGACAGCCGCTGTTAGCTGAAGTAATCAATGTCTTTGTGTACCTCTGACCAAAGAACTGACTGTCTGGATGAGGACTTAAATTACTTCAACTATACTTCAGATAGAAGTGGGGAGGCACAATGGTCCTGGCATGTGATTTAAAATGTCAATGACAGGCAAATTAAATGGTAAATAAGAATAAACTTGGTGTCTTTTACATTTAAGTTGCAGTAGTTCTCTTTTTCTGCCTGATAAATGTGCACCTTTTAATGAGGCCGTCGCTACGAGAGGAGGCAGATTATTATGTTAATCCCGCTGCAGGAGAGACTTTGAGCTTTTATCAGTATCGTTTATTGGATATCTGCAAGAATCCAGCATCATGCATCCGTCGTCAGAAGGGCATTCTGTAGTATTAATCTCCAGACTCTGTCTTTGTGTGCTCTTGTTTCCAGGTTCAAAGCCAAGCTGTGGTTGTGTGAGTCCCATCCTCTGTCCCTATCAGAACAAGTGGTGCCCATCATCGACCTCATGGCCATCTCCAACGCCCTGTTCGCGAAGCTGCGTGACTTCATCACTCTGCGGCTGCCGCCCGGCTTCCCTGTCAAGATCGGTGAGCGCCAGGAGGGCGAGGGACGGATGGAGAGGGAGGCTGGCTGGTTGAACTGAGGGGATGAAAATTAATACATAAAGACGCTAAGATAAGACGAGGACAGATGCAGGAAGAGATTAAAATCAGTCATAAACATGAAAGAACTAACAGATGCTGAGCTCATGCTGTGATCTCCTCCACCCCCTGCAGAAATCCCCCTCTACCACATCCTCAACGCCAGGATCACCTTCAGCAACCTGAACGGCTGCGAGGAGGGAAACGGCGTCCGTGCTGATGGCGAGGTCGGGGTGGAGGCAGACGGACAGAGGGACACCCCCAGGACGGACACCCCGTCCCCGGGCAGCGACTCCTCCAGCGTCTCCAGCTCCAGCTCCACCAGTAAGGACACGCTCATCCTTTCCCGTCTTCCTCTTCGGCTGACGACATTCCAGATGGCGGCAGAAGTTCATATTTTGTTCTGACAAGCTGCTTTCTAAATCTGCGCTCACGTTTACTGCAGGAGCCCGGCCGTGCTTCAGTTTATAGTGGCCTGATAGAGTTATGAGCAGTATTTATCGCTGGCTTCCAATGCAAGGTGCTGTTGTGTGTGCGATTGTGGCCCGCTTTCATCATCCTATCGCTTGATCGGAATCCCAGCAGCCAGGTTTAAATCAGCAGAGGGGAGATAGAATTTACTGTGCGGCTGCTCACAAGGAAGCTCTTTGGAAATCCTTGATGATATCGTAAAGTTGCAGACTGATGAAAGCGCACACAAGTGAGAGGTGAAATTATTTGGTCAACAATGCTGTGGTGAGAAAATGGCGAGCGACAGCTTCCTTTACTGGCCTTTCTGCACCTCCTGTTTTTCTCCTCCACTCTTCTCCTTTAGTCTCCTACCTGTCAGGTAACTCTCCTGCCTTCTCCTGCCCTTTGCCTTTCCCCCTGTGCTGCAGTGTCGTGTCGAGCCGGAGAGATTCCCCCGTGTGTGTTCGAGCCGCCGCCTGGATACACCATGCTGGGAGGCAAACAGAGGGACAGCATGAGGGAGGAGGAGGAAGACCTGCTGCAGTTTGCCATCCAGCAGAGTCTGCTGGAGGCCGGCTCCGAATACGATCAGGTGGACTTCCTGAGATCATCTCCTGTTCTGTTATTAGGCAAACACGAGCCTCTCCTGATGTCACCCAGCCAGCAGCATCAGGCAACACATATGTACAGCACATAGCCTCTTAAGAAGTCAGTATTTCATGGAACAATTGGTTTGAGACAGAGCTGGAGTAAAGCAGCTCTATCGGTTCTATTCAGTTCGGTTCTGTTCAGTTCTATCTGGTGATGATCAAATGAAAACTGTACTGGTGCCTTTTACAGGCAGGAAGCTGATTAAGCCAACGTTAGCTCCTCAAGTCATCTGACATGGCTGTAAGCTGCTGAAGCTAACACTGTCTTGGATAACAAGTTTTGCTGGTTCTGGCTGGAGTTGAAACATTCCCCAAATCAGATGACGATCAGGAGAGAGCGCTAGCTTTAGCCATAGACTGTATAAAAGATGGACGTAGCTACCGGCCCTGAAAAATGAAGCCAACCCGGAAGTGTCAAAAACCTGCAATATCACTACGTCCACTAGCTGCTGGCTCCAAAAAG